ATTTTATTTCTTAAGTTACTCTACACCCAGCGTGGGACTCAAACTCACAATCTGGAGATCAAGAAGAGCCGCATGCTCCACTGACTGAGCTAGCCAGGTGCTGCACCCTGGCAGTTCTTTATCCTGTTCAATATTGTACCTTTTTTCATGTTAAGGTGTCCTTTTGTGTAAGGTACATGTATTTTCTAAACAATGTCTCTTATTATAAAATTCATGCACAGTGTAAAAAATTCAGTCAATAACAGAAGGTATAAGGAAGAAAATTAAATTTACTCCTAATTCCACCACCTACACTCTGAGCATTTTGATGCATATACTTTTTTTTAAAATTTTTTTCTTGTGATGAGAACTTTTTTTTTTGAGTTTATTTTGAGAGGGGGGGCGGGTAGGGAAGGAGGAGAGAGAACATCCCAAGCAGGTGCAGAGCACAATGCAGGGCTCAATCTCACAAACCGTGAGATCATGACCTGAGCCAAAATTAAGAGTCAAGTCAGATGCTTAACCAACAGCCTGAGACACCCAGGCTCCCCAGTTGATGTATATACTTCCATCCTGTGGAAATTTTCATACACTTACATGTGCCTCTATATATTAACTTGAAATAAAAAGATTCTATATGGTTTATGATCCAGTAACGGTTGACTGTGCCTTTTTCTTGCTTCGGGCTTTCTGATATCTCTTCTAGTCTGTACATCTGGAGTGGTTCCTTGTCAGTAGTAAGTACACATGGTAGAGGTTATTCCCCTTGTGTTAAAGAGGTCTGGAGCTGCGGTGCCTGGCTGACTCAGTCAGCAGAGCATGGGACTCTTGATCTTGGGGTTGTGAGTTGGAGTGCCACGTTGTGTGTAGAGATTACTTAAAAAAAAGAAAAATCTGGAGCAGGCAGTTCCAGGCAGTGTGGTGGCTCCATGATCATGATGTCATCAGTGCCTCAGTCCCCTCCTGCTTTTTTCACTATCTTCCTTAGCATGTGGCTTTTGTGAGGTCACATCATGGTCAAAAGATGGCCACTGTAGCTCCAGCCACCACCTTCACATTCCAGGCTGGAAAAAAGAGGAAGCTAACTAAACTCCCCTTAAAGTAGCACTTCTCAGAACTTTAAATGCACATGTGAATAAACAGAGGATCTTGTTAAAATGCAG